AGTAGGTTTAACCCCTGCTTTGGGAAACCAGCCGCATGCTATATAGAAAGCATATCCAGCGACGGCATTGCATGACTGTGCGAAATTTTTTAAGAACCAGTCATATCTGACAGCCATAGAATTAAGTGTTACTTTGCCTGGCCTGTTGATTGGAACATCACAGTTCAGGATGTAATTTTCGGCACTGTGCCAGTGCCGAAACACTCCTCCCCGACGTGCCTGAATGACTACCGCCCCGTAGCACTCACACCTATTGTTATGAAGTGCTTTGAGCGACTGGTCCTAGCTCACCTTAAGAACTGCCTCCCACCCACACTGGACCCACACCAATTTGCCTACCGTAGCAATAGGAGCACAGAGGATGCAGTAAGCACAGTGCTGCACTCGGTACTCACACACTTGGACAATAACAACACATATGTACGGATGTTGTTTGTTGACTTCAGCTCAGCATTTAACACTGTCATTCCCTCCAAGCTGACCACTAAACTTGGAGACCTGGGCATTAACACCTCCCTCTGCAACTGGATTATGGAATTTCTGACCAACAGACCTCAGCATGTTAGGTCAGGCCAGAAAAAAAGGTCCGGGAGGCGCTTCAGGAGCCTCCGGACAAGGACCAGCAGACTTAGGAACAGCTTTTTCCCTACAGCTGTCTCCTTACTGAATTCTGCCCGCTGAGCCCCCCCCCACTACACTACACACTCCTCACATCTCTCCTCATCACTACATCTGGTTTACAAAAAAAAAAAAACTGTTACACTTGTTATTACTGCACTACTGTCTGTACATCCAGAATACTGAATGATCCATTTGCACACTGGAATATTTTCTATGCACTCTTTTAAATGTCCATTGCACTTGTGTTTTGTACAGCTTAATGTATCGCTTACATATTCATTTGTAAATGATGTTCATATGTTCATAGTTTCTGCTTATAGTGTACATACACTTATTACATAATCCATATGTATAGTATGTTCATAGTATACCTATCTGTATATCATGCTGATAGTATTTAAAAATCTGTAAATTATGTCCATAGTACTGCCTTATCTGTATATTTATTGTACATTTGTAACATATTGTAGACACTGTATATCCTGTACTTACTGCTTATTGCACTTCTGGATAGATGCTAACTGCATTTCGTTGCCTTGTACCTTACATGTGCAATGACAATAAAGTTGAATCTAAAGTATCCCTTCATCTCACCTCTGCGTTCTCATCTGTCATCCGTCATAAGCTCAGGTTACCACTTCCAGCCAAACAGTGCAGAAGTAAGTAGATTGTGTGAGCTGGATGTCTACCCATGCAAACACTGCTGCTGCTGGTGTATTCAGTAGACATGCTGCTAATCCACAGCTGTCTCAAGTATATTTATATCTCGCTGTGTGGCTCGGAGTGTTATCGTGGGTCACATGATTGCTGATCACCTGCTTACATCTGTGTCTTTATTAATAGTTGTATTGAGGGTGCATTCAGTGTATGTTGTGGTGTCTTGGTCACACGTTTTTCCCTTCTGGAGGTTGACGACACATACTTAGTTTAAAAAAAAAAATGCTTGTCAAATCATTTTGACCACAACTCAAACACATTTACACACGCTCATGTCTTCATCTGACCACAAGACTGTCTGTCTTGGCTTAATCCCTACAGACAAGACTGTCTGAACTCACTCACTCTCTCTCTCTCTCTCTCTCTCTCTCAC